TAGTTTTATCCTTCCTACCAATAAAATTTAAACCAAATTGGGGTTCGTCTTCTGTTAGTACATTATTGGTTAATTCCAGTCAACATTTTTTCTTGCTCTTCTTACTGTCATTCGATCCACTATATCTGATATGTTATCTTTGCCTTCCAACCCAACGTTATCCAACAGAGCGCTGTTAATAGATGTAGCTGAGAGATCTGATACATCAGTTAGATCGTATGCCAGATGGTTGATAAATGTTAAGAGTCAAAGAAAACAAAAGACTACCATGAAGAAATGGATGATTGAAAATAACTCCGTTATTGTTTTAGATAATACATTCTCAGTCGATTGAAGAAGTCACTACCTACAACAAGATGGAAAGAAGAAGATTTCAAAATGGCGTCATTCTAAAAATATTATTAGTCCTCCTAAATCGTTGAAGGCAGAATTACTCGTAATATCAAGGCAATACAAAAACAAATTCAAAAAATATATTATAGACGAGATGTCCCGAGAAAAAGAATTGAAATTCTCAGGATGCCTCCTTACCACGCAGACTTGAACTGATCTGGTCACAATTAGGTAATGTTTCTCAAAACCACACAGCATTTATTTACCTGTGCGAAATTTGTTTTTCAAGGGAGTTTCAAATGTAAATGAAGAACATTGGAGAAAATGCATTGATCATGTTAAAAACGTGGAAAATGTATTAATGGGAAACTTTAAAGACCCTATAATAATAAACCTCACAAAAGACAATGATAATGATACCAGTAGTTATAGTGAAGACAGTGACTTTTAAAAATAGTTTTAATTTTTTTTAATCGTTGATTTTTAAGGTGTTACTTTTAATGCCAAGAGATTAAAAAAATAAACCATAAAATGAATTCTAAAAAATGGCTGGCGACAAATTGTCGTGGCGGTGAATTGTCGTAGCGGTGAATCGTCTTACGATGAAATGTCGGCTCTGAATTTTCGCGCGATGAATTGACGTAGATCCTATATAGGTACCATTTTATATGCCGTGACCTTATTTATATTATAGAAACTTATTTGGCAAAGTACGCCTATGTAATGTGACGTGATATCCCCACTTTTACTGCACTACTCTTTTATTCAGACTATACCAGAAGCAGCAATCGAAGTACTAATATCATCTTCAAGTACTATAATTTTAGTCCATTATAATGTTGTGTATCCTGAACATTTACAAGGTACCGTGCATATGCCTCACGTAGTTTAAATTAACTTGTCATCCTGAATTGATTAAAATCTTGTTAATAAACAATATCACATGTTTCTTTAAATTTTCTATTAAATTTTGTGTAGCAAATTTCGACTACAAATATATGACGACACATTTCTAATAAGCAACCCGGGTGTCACGTTTCGCAACATTCGCGAGTCACAATCATTTTGGGACGTAGGAATACGGTCGGTAGGCAAGTTGTTGTTTTTTGGGCAGAAGTCAACGGAAAAAGTCAGTTATTCTTGTAATCTCAATTTTTTACATTCAAAACCCTGTATTAGATAATAGAAAATATAGCTGTAAAAGAATTGTTAATGTGTTCCTGTTCCTGTTCATGGTAATATTATACGAATACAAAAGTTCGCAGTTTCTTTTATTGACGCAGCTAGTGTTAAAACCAAAAGATACGAACTGTGGTCAGTCTCGTGATGAGGATGTAGCCAGCAGCATCATCCCCATTCATTTTGCTCTTGTTTTGATAAGCTTAATGATTTCACTATTTTACCACATAGGATATTAATGTTTAAAACGTTTAATAATCGGTACATGATTATTAATATTGTTATAGAACTTCATATAAAAGGTTTCTACATCAAGGTTACTATCTGTAAGTTTATTCAGAGGGTTCCAATTTGTCATATAAAAACTCAAAATACCCAAAATGAGACCAGCTTCCTTGAACTTGTTTTGAGTATTATTTAGATTAAAATTAACTTGACTAATAACAGTAATACCAATAAGTAAAGAAGAAAAAATAACTTTACCAAAGGTACATTATCACGTATACAGTGCAGTTAATGTTTCTTATTACCAAATCCAAAATTCTACAATACTTGATAATATATTTAATATATTTAAGTTAAACTGTTTAATTTTTGAAAAAGTTAAATAAATTTACGATAGAACAAATTTTAATATCATTTAAATAGTTAACTACAAAATTTGAGAAATTGAAATCCCCTAAAATCATAGAATCACAGAAAGCAGTGGTTCACATTTCTCAAGAGCTTCCAACCCAACACATGTCATGTGTTGGACACATCATATTTTTTTATTGTCACTGCTACAGATCAATATTAGTTAGAAGGAAGGCGAACATCCTTATGCATAAATGCAATGCATATTACCATACAGTAACATGCACCTGCTGTTCGTACCAAATCTTTATCGCTATATATAAATCTAACATGAAAGCTAACACCACAAACACGTGTATGTTTCATCACGAATGTTCTACATCAAAACAAACAGTTTCATAATGTTGATTTTGATTTGACGAAAATAAACAATCAACATGAATAAACGCATTAGAAGGATATATCCAAAACAAAGAGGAGTAGATTAGATGACAATAATACGATAGATTGAAACACTTGGGATAACAAATATTAGGGGTAGGAAGAGAAAAACCAAATCATATCAAAGGAGTAGTATGAGAATAAAAATATATTAAATTATAAAGTTTAAATAAAAAATACTCTATTTTGGCCCTAAATTCTAATAAAAAATGCTTGTTCAATATTTTTTGGTTGTTAATCATGTTCAATTCTTGATGTCTGGAAATTTTTCCACGTTCTCAACTCATGAATAAATTTATTTAATATTGAATTTCAATAAAAACTGTTTTAAAGGTTCATTAATTACTCTGGAGATATATTTTCTATTATTTGTTTAAACCACTATATTTTATAAAAAAAAAAGATTAATAGCAATTTGTATCCTTTTAATGTGACATGTCTGTTTAGAAAATTAATGATTGTTATGCTACAAAATAGAAATTGGAAAAGTAAATGCCGGTCTATACACGATTCATTGTACACACTAACAAATAAAGTGGTATTTAACTAGCATTTACCATCCTATTATATATACAAAATAAACTGGTCAGCTTTAATGTTATTAGACTTGAACGTATACGTCAGTAACTACTTTATGTATTGACTTATACCAGGGGTCTCTATGATAAATTACATAGAATATATATAAAAACACAAGAAAAGTAAATTGTATTTATAAAAATTTTTATTTATTAAATATACAGTGTGTACTTAAGTCGACACCATAGGGGAACTTTTTTAGTATTTGTTTTATGCAAAAAATGTATTCTTCATAAAAAGTTTTACATGGTCTAAAATCAAATTTTTTAGTCATGTACGAGGTTCGTCAATAAAATATGAATTTTATTCAAGAGTAAATTACCTTTATTTTAACTATCAAAAATTATTATAGAAAAAGTTGATCAGAATTGAAAGCTACGATCATATATCCATCTACGAAAAAACGATCTTTAATGTTTTTTGTCATAAATACAACATAAAACTGTTTTTTTATCTTAGATGGGAATAAATTAATTATCCAGCTTTAAATTTTTCTGTCCGCATACTTCTTGTATATTTTGAGTAATTTTGAAAATATGTCGTTTCATAATGATGTTTAATGTTACATTCTTTGAGAATGACTAAGGTTTCATTGCAAATCAAACATAGCGCCTTATTACTCGACTCAATCACAAAATATTGAAAGTTCCATTGATCTTTAAATATTCTGCATTCGCTGTCTATTTTTCGCTCCTTTTCCATACTAGTAAATCACACACAAAAATAACAAGTCAAATCAAAATACTGTTACACAAGGGCTTCGCTTGCTTTACCTTCCCTAGACAGACTAGGGAGTTTTAGCAAACAGCCGCTAACCATCCGCTAACGTTACCTTAGGGATAGACTGTAATCTACTCCGTTCAATCTTTATGAAAAAGGTCACAATCTAAGTTTAACGTAACGTTAGCGGAAATCTTACGTACATTTGCTAAAACTCTCTACTAACTCGCGGTCACACCGCTAGTCTTTTTATACTCCGATTACTGCCATCTCGAAGTGAGTGGAATACACCAGATCTTTTTTGAACCACTGAGGTTATTCACGAATGTTTAACTGTTACTGCGATTTTGAAAGTACTACTAGCGCTGTCTGTTAGCAATAGAGGATACCACCAATACCTATTTCCGCTTTTGACCACCAGATTTGGTCGTCGTAACAATACACAATCGTAATTCAACTAGCGAATTTAGCAAGCCTATGTGTAGCGACATACTTGCACTACATATCTTTATCATTTTCATTATGTCATACGCATTAAATTGCTGTCATCCTTTAGATAATAAATAAAATAGTACTGCTGGAGATATTTTAATTCAAAGAACAAAAATGACATGTCTTGTATATAAAACAAAATATAAAAGTCGTAATTATTATAAACAATTTTTTTTCCTTCGCGATGATTTCAACCTTTTGGCTTTGCTAGAACTGCCACGAAAGGTTATCTAAATAATGACAGCAATTTAATGCATATGACGTAATGAAAATGATAAATATATGTAGTGCAAGTATGTCGCTACAGTATGCTCGCTCAGGACGCGTACTGAGCGACTAGTCTAGAAATGATAGATAATTGCAGAAATATTAAAAACGTTCCCTTGGAACTTATTGGAGTAATCAGCATAGCCGTAAGGCTGAAAAGTTTGGAGACCCCTGACTTGTACTCATTATATTGAATAAAGAAAAATTTTATAGTCCCAAACAAATTACTTGCGATTACTTGAAGGAAAAACCTAAATGAAGAAAAAGGAAAAAGTATTTCAATACAAAAAGGAGGTTTCAGTCTTAAAACATCGACTGAAAGAAATTAACAACCTGGCATAACCACCCATTATGCATAACTCCACATTGTTCTATACATTCAGTTTGTTTTAAATGAAAACAAAGTTACTTACTGTATGGTTGCGGTCGAGATCCGAAGTGAGGTTCTTGTAAAAGTGGTTGTGGTCGTCCATTATTTGTGGTTTCTTTCACTGAAACAAAAATGAAATATATGAGAAAAAAAAATGCGAAAATAAATTTTAATAAATTAGCTGAAACTAATTCTTCAACTCGGTAGAAACAATGAATGCTATTAATCAAAATTAAGCAGCTGCTTTTGGTTAAAAATTGGAGAAGAATTTTAATCATTTTTTAATAAATAACATTTTTGATTTTTGATTAAAATTCTTAGAATATTTCGCAAACAATGCGTATTACCCAAATCTAATTAGATATTTTATGTATTAGAAAATTGGTCCTACTAATTTTTAAGGAAAAGCCTTTGCTTAATTTTTATTAATATCACCTAATATGCGCTCCTGAAAAGGATTTTATTTTAAATTTTAGAAATATACAATTTGCGCCTTGATTCTTTAAATGTATATGTAATAATTTACCAATTAAGTATGTGACAAAAAAATCACCCTCTAGACGTAAATATTTACTAATCAAATTCTGCATATTATAAGGCCACTATTTAATGATAAAAAATTCAAATAAAAAGACTTTATCTTGTTTGTTTCGGCGTCCCTGCAAAAAACAAGTTTTAATTTTATTCTCTATTGTTAATCGATTTGTTGTCAGTATACGATTGAAACAATTTTAACAGAAAAACTAAAGTGTTAAAATGCCAAAAGTTCGACGACGGGAAAATTGTAATAGTGTTTTTAAGTTTAATTTAGTGTTAATTTAAGTTTATTTCTCGTGCTTTCGTCATAAATATAATATTTATCATGTAAATGACTTAATTTGTTAGAAATATTCACCTATTGGTTGCTACAAGAACATCTAGAAAAATGTTTTTACTAAATCCAGGACATATTTTATTATGTGGTTTAAAGGACATTTTAGGTACCAAACGTTTATTATTGATGAACTTATTTAAAAATCTTACTATCCGTATTCTTATATTAAGAAGTGGAGAACTTTGTATACACGTAAATTTTAATAAAACCGTCACAAATCAGATTACAAAGTTTTGCAAAATTTCAATATTGTGAATTTGTAGATATCCATTTATCATAAAAAACAAAATTTTACGACTTGCACTTAAAAAATAATGAATACTTCAGTTTTAATTTTGACATTAACACCACATAGATTGCAATTTTCTGGGGACTTTTTCGCAGATTTTATTTTTAATATAAACACTATCACATACTATAAGAAATAAACAAATTTAAAGCTAAAAAGTAAGAAAAAAACTCGAATTGTAATTGATACAAATTAAAATGTAAACAAAGAACACGAACGCCAATGTTGCCACATGATGAACTGATTTTAAAACAAAATTAATAAATGAACTGAAATTTAAAAAAAAATCAATATAATAAATCGGTTTTATAAAAAAAAATCCTTAAATAAATATAAAGTATGATTACATATTACTAGACACAAATTTTTATTCTTAAATAAAAGGTCTTATCCACTTCTTCAAGAGCTAAAATCCGACGACGTAACGAAATTTTGCTACTTCTGGTAACACTGAACGATTTCCTACTTATAGGGATCTTTTACAAATTTCCTCCATAGGACGTATCACTTAGCTTGCATCGCGAATATGAGGCGGGAACTGGCTTTCGAGAAATCGGTAGACGGATGCCAAGAAATATTGGAACAATTATTCTTTGTTGGAGAAGCTGGTCAAAAGATGGTAGGTAACATCGCAGAAGAGACTCTGGAGAATGACAGATTGAGAAGACAGGAGATTGAGATTACTTGCCCTTAGAGATCGGCATTGTACTTCTAGATCAAAAGGTAACATTCTTATGGGATACATAAGCTATCTAATCACAATACGTTGAATATATCGCCTTATTAGTTCCTCCAACTCTCTCTAACCAACCGTCATCATGTCCTTATGTAGGAATAGTGCAATGCACAGGCAAATTGGGATGAAAAACGAAGTAGAGTCGTGTTTTTAGACGAATCACAATTTTTCCTGTAGGCCCACGACGGTCATAGATGAGTCAGACGTCGAAGAGGTGAAATCTGGTTTCTGGAGTTTGCTCTGGAACGCGAGACAGCCCTTACCAGAGGATTAATGGTTTGGGGAGAAATCAGCTTAGACATTTGAACTCCTCTAGTATTTCTCCAAGGCCACTTAAATACCCAAAGATACACTGACGAAGTTCTGAAACCGTTTGCTATATCGTACATTCGAGTCACATCACAAACACGACAACGCCCGACCTCATATTGCAGTCGTTACAATACAATTCCTGCAAAAGGCCGATATTACTACTCTCCCATGGCTCGCGTGAGAATACTTCTTAACAGGGGCGGCTCGTGACCAAAATTTTGGGGGTTCACAGTAGCAGAATATAGATCCCGGTACAGATATAGGTAAAAAACTGTCAGTGTTTTATAAAGGTATATTATAAACTTTCTAAAACACTGAAAATTTTTTCATACATCTGTACTGATACCTATATTCTGTCCCTGTGAACCACGAGCCGCCACTGCTTCTTAACCCTCCAATGCACTTATAACAGGTGCTTGATGTCGTACAAGTTACTTTAGATGATTTGCCTCAGGATATCGCATCGTTAGAAGTGTACTCAGGCGAACCGCAGAATGTTTTCCAATGAAAATTTAATCAATTGTTATTCTTCATACTATGAACACGCGTAAAAAATATAAGGTGGCCCAACAAAAACTTAAGATGCGGGTTTTGGTTATTAATATCGTGGATGTTACAAAACGCTCGAATAGCTCGATTTTAGGGGGACACTTTTTTTCTTATTGCAGCATCGTCACTTCAACCCTCGAACACTGGGGTGAACAACCCCTATAATACAATGTAAATAGGGAAAGTGTCATGACACATTATTGAAAAGGTAATTTTATGGAGAATTCAGCAATATGAATATTACATTACTTTTGATTTTAGCGTCCTCTAGCTTGATAAAAAACTATTACGTATTGTAAAGTGTAACACTTAATTTGAAAGCCAATTTTATTATTAATTCAGTACACCACATCTAAATATCTGCATATTGCACTTGTAATAAAATAAAGTTAACAATAATGCAAATTTTCAGACTATTGCAAGTGCAATATGGAGACATTTATATTAATGTTGTGTGGTGCATTAAATTAGTAATAAAATTAGCTTTCATTACAATACGTAACAGTTTTTTATCAATCTAGACGGCGCTAAAATGAAAAGTAACGCAAAAAATAGTCTTATTGCCGAATTCTCCATTAAATTACCTTTTTAATGATGTGTCATGCATTACACTTTCCCTATTTAAATTGTAGTGTCCACCCTATTGCACGAGGATTAAAGTGACGATGCTGCAATAAGAAAAAAAACTGCCCCCCTCCAAACTAAAATCAACCTTGCCGAGCTTTTTTAGCATCCACCCCATGTCAAGTTTTCGTTGGGTCACCATGTATACACTTTTAGTGAATGATGCGTTTCATAGTACAGATAATAAACTTTAAACTCGTTTTTCTCTAAAAATCATTTTTCTCTAAAAATGACATGACACCTTTATCCACTTCTGTCTTCAATTAGTAGTGAGAGTTTGTTCTTTTTTTACTTTAATTTGAACATTTCGCTCACCGGAGACAATAGTGGCACATCTAAAAAAATCACAAAACACGTTAAAATACGTGAAAATATTTAAAATTTATGAAATTTCATCCAACAATACTGGCATAAAATTAGGTTAAATAATCTTTTTGAGATGACGCTTGTGCCACTACGGGCTACCGCTTGCTGAGCTCCTTAAGTTGCATCAACACCGGCATATTTTCAGCGTGCCGTTGACTGTGCTTAGTGACGCTTCGTTATGTTTGAGCAATAGTGACACATCTAAGAAGTAGCAACGATTTGTTGCAGCATCAGTAGCACATTTTGTGTTTCGGTTATTTTAGTTAAATGTGCCAGTATAGTTGATACGCTGTGTTGATATATTTGATATATGCCGATATTGACTGAACTTTCAATTGATTTTTATTAGTTGAGCCGGTATAGACTATTATTGTGCACAATTTTTGGTTTCATACAATATGGATAGCAATTTGGTAAAAAAGGTGGCAAGGGGGAGAAGATGCTGTCAATAATTGGAATAAGGTAATGTTTAAAGACATATTTATGTAAAAATACAATGAAAATTTTATAGGTTAGAAAAAATCGAGCAACAAGGCCAAGACCCACATTGGAAAGTTCGCAGTCTTAATGGAATCTCGAACCCCCAATTAGATTGTGGTAATTATTTTTAATTTACTTAGTAATATTATTATAGCACTGGATGGGTATCTTTTTGCAAATGTTTTTGCTGACAACGGATCAATTATAGATCATGAGAAACCAGCTTCCAACGGCATGATGGAAGGTGAGAAAAGTGAAGGTAAGTGATTTAACAATAAGTATAGATAGGTTGCGATGCATAGAATGATAAATAACCTTCGTTCATTCTTTTAGATGGAGTATCTAACAAAGAAGAATAACTAACTATTCTAACTGCTAATGACAATATGGACAATAATACCCAAAGTGATATTTTAGATAACACCATGCTGAATGAAAGTAATGAAAAAATCTTTATCAAGACGTGATTCTTGCGATGACGAAGAAGCCTTTTCATCAGATGACTCAGTCAAAGATCCAAATTATGCCAACGACTCATCTTCATCAAGTTCAGACTCATCTGATGACGATAATGAAGGTAAAACGGCTTATACCGTGAATTTGCCAGACTAGGCTGATACTACAAAAAAAAGAACGAGAAAAAGAAAAGCAGTCCCATCCCAATGTAAAAAGTTCACTACCAAGCATCTAAGAAGCACTGGCAAAGCATACAAAACTTTGGGAAAGGGATTAATAGTTCCAGAATGACAAATGAAACCACCGTGTGCAAACAAAAATGCAGTACCAAATTTACAGAAGAAGAAAGGTTGGCCCAATTTAAAAACTACTAGGGTGATATTTGTAAAACAACGTACCTATATTTTATCGGTTATTTAAGATGTTAATCCTGCATACAGATACCCACGTAATGCCGTAAGCAGAACTACAAACCAAGAATTTTTTTCTTAAAAGACGGCAAGAAATTAAAAGTTTGTAAGTATTTTTTCATAGCTACACTAGGCATTACAGGGCGCTGTATTCGAACAATAAAGATGAAAATTAGAGATTCTACTATAACCGAAGATAACAGAGGAAAACATTTTAACCATTAAGAAGTTTCCAAGGACATTTAAGACGGTGTTCGAACCCACATTTCGTCAATCCCTACTAGGGAGAGCCATTATACATGAGCACATTCCGAAAAACTTTATATAGACGGAAGTAAGACAATTGCTGTTACACCATGATTATAAAGAAGAATGCGAAAATCAGGGAAAACCTTTTGCTAATCTCACTATGTACAGAAACATATTCAACCACGAGTTCAATATAGCCCCTTTTTATTCCTAAAAAGGATCATTGCCAAGCCTGCGTATCCTATGCAAATTCAACAGACGAAGAAAAGAAAAAGTTAGAGGAGGAACATAACACCCACATCGAAAAGAAAAGATTGAGCAGAGAAGAAAAGGAAAACAACAAAAAAGTACTTCTTCTTCATACCTGGTAGCGTGTTTTGATCTGCAAACCTCTCTACCGACACCAAATAGACAAGTACCCTTTTTCTACTATAAATCAAAGATGTCTACCTACAATTTTACTGTGTCGAATCTTACATCAAAGGGGAAAGGATTAGTAAATTGTTACATGTGGCACGAAGGTCAGGGTAAGAGAGAGGCAGTTGAAACAAGCACTTGCCTATTGCATTATTTAAAGGAAAAGGCTGCTGTGTGTAATAATGAAGATCTCGAAATAGTATTCTATTCTGATAATTTCACAGGCCAACAAAAAAAACAAATTCATCATTGCAGCTTGCCTTTATGCCGTGACTAATTATAAAATACCTTGTTACTGGACACACCCAAAATGATGGCGATAATGTCCAGTTCTCATTTAAAAAAAGCGCCAAGAGGGCTCTTAAATCTAGCCAAAAAACCAGCGAGCCTTTTAAAGTAATAAATTTTCTTTACTTAAAGCATTTAACTGAATATGCTACTCATTTTTTACAAAACGTTTTTCAAGAATACAGAATTTAACCAAGTTCAAGTGATTCATGCAAGACGTTCAAGAACATCTCTCTCCACTTTTCTAGACTTTGAACTGAAGTAAGCTTACGATAGTCCTATACCTATTATAAAAAAAAATATGATGACATCATGTTTTTGTTAGGAACCAACGCTATTAAAAATTGATACAGTTATTTTTATAACAGTTTAGATTTTGAGTAAAAAAATTATTAGACGTTAAGTAAGACTAATTTTCCAGAAAATGTAGTTGAATTTTTAACGTAGGATAGCTTTCTTTTGTTACGTGTTTCTCTCTTATAACGCCATTTTCAATAAAGCAAGCGTATCTCCAATATTTTCTTTATATTTAAAACAGTTTTCATTGCACTTTTCAGAAGTTTTCATCAAAACTGTGTCACTTGGTTTCAACAATAGTGGCACATCTAACAAATATCAACTTTTTTGAAAAAAAAAAAAGTATCCGATTATTGCACATAAAAACACACCAATAATCACAGTCAAGTTCATTAAGGATATTTAAATGACATTACAACGTGAAAAATTGAAATAACTGAAACTTTAAATGCAGTTTTTTCCATAGTTTTCAATTTTGAGTTGTGCCACTATTATGCCGGTGAGCGATTTGTTAGTCAAACTATAACCATGTGGATATACAAGAACAGAGCGACGCGCGACGACAGGTTAGATAATTTATAGTATATTACATTACGAGTGTGGAAAGTGACATTTTTCACACGAGTGGGAAATATTGTTACACGAGGCGCAAGCCGAGTGCGACTATCACACGAGTGTGGAAAATCACTGTTTACACAAGTGATGAACAATATTTTTCCTACGACCACAAAATAATGTCATCAAAAAAATGTAAAACCAAGGTTATTATTAATATAATAATTAAAATGTATTTAAAAAAATAATCAACAATAATCGTATTTATTCAATTTTCATATTTTCTAAACAAAAAAAAAACACTAAAAAAAAAATAACAAAAAAAAACAAAAACAAAATCTGCCTCGCCAGGATTCGAACGCGGTCGAAAAATGGCAAAGTTGATAAGTTCGACGTCCTAACCACCTGAGCTAATAGCCCTTGTGTCAATTGAATGATCTAATCGGTTATGTATTTAACCAGAGTAAAGAGCAAACATTATTTTAAAATTATTTTAATAATAATTGTTAAAGATAAATATCTAGGATCTAATTTACAACGATTTCAATAATTTAACAATCATATCGATTTTAGTATTAATATGGACATTACATAGATCAAAATAGAAATTAGGTGATTGACATTTTGTGACAACTACTGTGGAAAGTAACATATTCTCACTCGGGTGGAAAGTAAATTCTTATTCATACGCGTGTGATATAGGGCACTTTCCATAGGACTATATAGTGTGATATGTGTCACTTTCCTAAGTGGTCGTAGGAAAAGTTTATTTTTAATTTTTTAAATGAATATCATTGTTTAAAAATAAATAACTTTTATATTATAATTGATTGGTCGAAAAACATTTGTATTAATTGAATAAAAAAAGCTGCATGCTGGGCAGAATTACAAATAGTTTTAACAGGGCATCAGAGAACACAGGAACACAAATTCTTTAAATTTAAATATGATAACATTAAATTAAGAATTTACAATGAATGCTAAATAGGAAAAGCTTGACTGAAATATTCAAGATAAGTATTATGGTTAATCAAACAGATTCTTGGGCAGTTCAATATTTTTCTTAAAAATTCGACAAAATATAAGAATGGTGATTCGTTTACCTTTGGTAGTCTTTGCTCTCTGAGTAAAAAAATATGTGGTCAAATCTAGGTGAAATCTGAAACGAATTTCTTATAAAATAGACCAGATAGTTTAAAGCAACTTTCTAGTAGATAACTTTTGATGGATTTAAGAAAATACAATTTAAATCCAACCAAATCAAAATGTATCTATACGAATCCATCAACTTTAAAAGCCTTGTATAAAAACTAAATTAAAAATGTTCCAAAAACGTTTTGTGAAAAATCGTATCCCACTTAAAACCTTCATCAATTCGCACAAAACCAACATAAATTCCTTCTTATGATAGATTGGCGAGTAACACTCCCGGTTTTCCGTTTTGAAAATCAATTTTCTCTCGCGTTTTCTCATCCACCAGTTATACGTGATGATGGAAATTGGGTACGCAGAATGGAGCTAGATAATCTCTGGTCTAATGATACTTACGAATTGCGAAAGTTTGGAAGCTTTAGATAAGGCTTATGGTTATTGTAAATGTTGATGGTATTAAGAACTTCTCGAAATCAGGGTCGGGAATTTGCGCTTAAAGAGGTCACGAGAAACAAAGAAAATATTAAGACCGAGGAAAATATTTTCAAATGCGAATTCCAAATTTTATATGCTTGGAAGACTGTATCCAAATGGATAAGGAATGTTCTAATCTCTTTCGGAACAAAATGACTCTTAAATTTTATTAATATTTTCATTAAACGAAAACAGTATAAATTCCAGCTTCGGTATATCTACATGCGTCGCTTCTTCAACAATTCTACAGAGTGGAAAGTCTAACTGGAACAAATTCTGTGATTTGCTAAATAAAGGTTTGTCGCAAAATTCCTGAAAGACGTCAATTTTTATTTTGGGCATATTACAAAGAGATTTGTTTATCTTTTTAATTATCTGGGGGTTGCAGACACCCCCAACTTTTTTTTAAATGAAAGCGTAGATTGATTAATTTTTTATTTGAAAGCTTGTTTAATTACAAATACAATTACTTTTTTTTGTTACTTTTTATAAACAATGTTTTGGAAAAAAATGAAATAAGGAAATATTTACTGAAATTACTTTAATGTATAGGTCAGGTACATTTTTTTCTTACTTGATAAGCCCAATAATAAACCTACTCGATAGTTTTTTGGTCAATTTGAACTGAATGTGATTGATTTGTTAGTACTTGTTTGTATTTCAACGTGTAAATTAAAAAACGAAAAATAAGAAAATGCCCTATTTAACCGAGACGCATCGTATCGAAATTTTAATGATGATCGGATATGGGAACAGAAGTCGAACACAGGCTGAAGTCGCTCGTTTCTTTACTGAAGTTCATCCAGAATTCCCTTCAATTAATCTAAGTACGATTAGCAAAATTGAAAGTCGATATCTGGAGTTGGGCCACGTAAGGGATGCTCATCGACAAAAGCTTCTAAAAATCGATGAAGAAGCCCAGTTGAACATATTGTTGGAAGTTGAAGAAAATTCTGTTACTCCAGCTAAGCAAATAGCTCGCGTTCATGGTGTCAGTCACACAAGCATTTTAAAAATTCTTAAAGAAGCCAAAAAGCACCGATATCAGATGTAAAACCTGCACGAGCTTAACGAAGATGATCCTGATCATAGATTCGAATTTTGCGAATGAATTATGGCTTCTATCGATGGTGGACAAATTGCTTTGGAATGCGTGCTGTTTTCTGATAAAGCTACGTTTACATTGCATGGGCACGTCAATCGGAAGAACTGCCGTTATTGGGCTGACGAAAATCCCTGTTGGATGCGTGAATGCCATACCCAAATATCTTAAAAAACAAACGTCTGAACTGGAATTATTGGGGATTGCATAGTAGGTCCTTTTTTTCAATGGAAACGTAACCGGAGAAACATACCTTACTATGCTCCAAGAAGAACTGATTCCTAATTTAGTAAATTTATTCCCCAATAATTTAGATCCCAACTTATTTGACCAACGGATGTTGTTTCAACAAGACGGGGCACCACCACATTTTGCTCAAAATGTACGGACCTATTTTAACGAAGTGTTTCCAAATAGGTGGATTGAAAGAAGGGGCCCAATTGAGTGGCCAGCAAGATCACCCGATCTTACTCCATTAGATTTTTTATGGGGATATCTAAAGAGCAAGGTTTATGCCACTAAACCTAATGACATCGCCGAGCTTCAACAAAGAATCAGGGACGAAATTAGGCAAGTAACGCCGGAAGTGTTACAAAATGTTCGGAATGCTATTTATAATCGATTAGGATATTGTCAGCAACAAGGTGGAGAGCACTTTGAACATTTATTTCATTAAAGTAGTTTCAGTAAATATTTCCTTATTTAATTTTTTTCCGACACATTGCTTATAAAAAGTAACAAAAAAAAATGTAATTGTATTTGTAATTGAAAAGGCTTTCAAATAAAAAATTAATCAACCATTTAAAAAAAATTGGAGGTGTCTGCAACCCCCCAGATAATTAAAAAGATAAACAAATCTCTTTGTAATATGCCCCATTGAAAATAAAAATTGACATGTTTCAGGAATTTTGCGAAAACCTTTATTTATCAAGTTACAGAATTTGTTCCAGTTAGACTTTCCACTCTGTATAATGACATACATTGATAAAAATATAGTATTAAAATAAATGAAATCTGATGTAACCAAAAACTTTTTTACTCATTTTACTCATCAAATTAGCTACTTTACAATTTTATACTTTTTGTTCACTTATACCTGGAAGGTTGTAGCATTTTAACTTGTCTATTTGTATAGATTTCAAAGATGAATTTTGTAATTATTACTACAAGATGGTTTTCATGAATCTATACATGGTCCTTCGAGCAAAATTTTGAGAAAGAAAAAATGTTGACACCTATGGAGACATCAATCCAACTGGCACAAAACATGTGGAAAAAACTGGTCCAAACACTAACCAACGCCAAAAAAGATTCAATTTCAAGAAAAACAGATGAAAATATAGCTAAACGGCTTAAAGAAGTGGATGCTGTATGGAATGAATGACGATGAAATCCAAAAGTTGAAGATTCCAGAGCACGTTTACTTTGAAAATGCGTACTTCAAACAATTACAAAAGAAATATGAAGAAACCAAAGACTACCTGGTATAATGCCAAAAATTTAAAGAGAAACGTATACCAGAGACAGTAATAAAGTTAAATCATGAGGACACTGATCAAGAAACGAGATGGAAAAAACAAAAATGGAAATGTGACCAATTAAACAGACTCATTAAAAAAATATACAAGGAAATGGATGAAAATAAGATCAACTCCAAAGATCAGAGGCTCATAAACACAGCAGAAAAGATGGGGGAGTATTTGGGAATTACATGAGGAGATTATGGCTGTTGAAACAACTTTCCAAGGCAGATATTTTATAGAAGGGATATTCACTAAAATGGAGGAAGATGTAGAGGAACTAATGAAGAAAATTGAAGAAAAAATTGCAAATAATGGGAATCCAAATCAATAAAAGTAGACCGAACATCCAGTTACCAAAAATAAAACTACTGATGTTTGATGGGAGCTATGATCAATGGTTTACATTTCATGACATTTTTCAAAAAGTTATTCATGAAAGCAGTTACCTCACAATCACTGAAAAAATGCAGTATTTAAAAACGAATGTTCGAGGAGAAGCTAGCAAAATGATAAAACATTTGGACATAACCGAAAACAACTACCAGTCACCAGTCAGTTTGGGACATTTTGAAGAAACGTTATCAAAATAAAAGAAAACTAGTAGCAACATTGGTTGATAAAATATTGGATTTGCCAGTAAGTCATAATGAAGCATCTGATAAACTCCATGATGTTACAATGGAATGTATAAATGCTATGACCAACATTGGCATTGATACAGGATCATGGGGACATAAACTTTAAATTTTTCCTCCGAAGACAAAATAGACTGCTTGTTCAACTCTCAAGTAGACTGCTTGTTCAACTCTCAAAAGAAAACTCCTAACCAAAAAACTGGCTACGTTGTCCTGCCTACAGCCTTGACATGACAAGGTGAAGTGTGTTTAGAAAGCATCCTTAAAGAACCGTCTAAGGGACCATTTAGAAGAGACTAACCTACCACATACCAAGAAATTTACAAAAATATATCTATGTACAACAATATTGAGAATTGATCTCCTGACAAAAATCGATACAAAAACTAATAGCGAAAAAATCTCCTAACATTCTAAATACGACGGACAGCAATTAATAACAAACATGCCTATCGTGAAGATTCTGACATTCGGGATAAGACCTGAATGACGTCTAATGAACAGACACTGTGTTATCCTGTTCCGTCAAATGAATTTTGCGTCAATTCGTGGACTGTCGCCAAAACAAAACAATCTTTGTTGACTTTGATTAAGATTATTTTCGCAATATTAATGATTACTTAATTAAAATAAGAAGCAAACACATTCGGTGTTTTTGGTTCGTTAATAATTAATTTTTTAGGTGAACGTATAATTTGAAAAACAAACTAGTTTGGAACAAAAATGCAGCAATTAGAGAGAAAAAAAACAGTAACTCCTGTCCATTGATAAGATAAATTAAAAAATAAAAACGATAATCGGCAAGGCAGAGTGTTGTCAAGAAATACAGAAATACAGTCGAAAATCTGAAAACAGCACTAACGAACGTTTTATTCTTTTTCGCTCATTAGGCAAGGTTAGTCATATTTAAAATCTAGTATTTCAAACAGCCAAATATGCACGTTACAAAGCTGACACCTTCGCGTATATTGCTGTAACGCAGCTGTACTTTTTACTACCCAAGCGGAATCTTTTTAAAATAATCATTCAATTAAATCGCTTCGGTAGTCCAATTTATCGAACATCCGAGTATTTAATTACTGACCTTTAATGGAAAGCGAAGCACTGGTTCGGATCTCACAGTAGACTATGCGAATTTTTTATTAATTTGCATGGTTCGTTGTAGAATTTGAGGGTGGCGATTTAGCAATAATTTAATTTCTGTTGGTTAGACATACAGGTTTTAATCCCATTGGATTACCGTGCTGATTATGGCAATTAGCAAAAAAATAATAATAATAATCGTGCTTCTCTAACACAAGTTCGTCTTGCATGAGTTCACTCGTAAAGGGGGAAACATTTTAACAAGGTAATTAAAATATAATATCAAGTCATAGGTTAATTCAACTTTCCACACATCATTTTCAGAAGCTCCTTAAATGTTGATGGAAGTGTTTGATAGAAAGTCAAAGTTAAAAACTATAAATTACAAGATACGAAACTGGGATATAAAATTTTTATTATACGAGTATGTGAGATATTAAATGTTAATAAAATGAAAATTAAAAAGCTTTCATGTGTTGACATTTTCATGGTCGTTAAATCTTGTAAGTTGTTGATGGTGTTGTTTTAAATACCTGCCTATTTTTCAAGAAATAAGTGGAAACATTACTTTTGTAGTAGTCAGTTCAGAGCCACTGGTAAATATGTATTTAGTATTCAGTAAAATAAATTTAAATCATGCATAAAGAATCCAATAAAAGGATACACAAATATGGAACTAAGGAAGCCAATTTCAGGTACCATATATGATCCCCTATTTTTATTTTGTTGGGGCTCATGGATAACTTTTACTATGTCTATTTCGTCTTATGCTAAAATATCGGGCTTTTCAGGCCAACGCCAAGCAAACACCCCACTTTTTACCATGTGAGATATGATGATTTCTGTATATTTTACTTCCAACAATTTTCCAGGATACATTTCCATATTGTACCTAACAAGCACAAAATCACCCTCCACGACATTTTCTGCATCCTGATCCGACATCAGTTCTATACAATCTTCTGAATCATCTTCACTACTTTCGGTCTCACTTTTAGTGTTCTTTGATTTTATATATATATATTTTTTTTGATATTTATTAGTTTTTTCTCTTTCGAAGGATCTACGTTTTGGATAGAGTTCACTTTTTGAGCTATTTTCTTAGACTTTGTTTCTGCTCGAGCTTTCTTTTTCTCCTCTTCCAGTTTTTTATTTTCTCTTTTAGTTTCTTTTTCTATAAGTAGTCTGATGTTGTTATAATTTCTGCCCCATTGCAGATCTTTCTTCTCTTTTGTGGTGTCGGAGATTCCGATTTCTTTTTTTTATTTTTTAGTAGTTCAACCACCAGACTTTCAAAGGGATTCAGATAAATATTGCTTTGGGTGTTTGACGGTCCAGGTTTGTCTTCAGCCATCATTTTACCTTGTTGCTCATTCAATATATTTGTTTGCTATTCTTTGTTAACTAAATCTTCCATTTGATGAATTGTTCCATTTTCTTCGTTTTTATTAATTTCTTGCTTTTTCGTTCCAATAATCACCTCGTTTTGTTTACCGTGGTGGTTATATTTTACAAGATATTGCTGTGAAACTATTATTTCAGGAACTTTTATTCGATCTGGTTTACCTGTATCTAAATTATAGATACCTGTTGCTTGAAACCCATTTATAATGTTCTGTTTAGGAATTTCCAAAAATTCCTTGTCATTCAGTTTTAGGAATTTTTCTTCTTGGGTTGAGCCTTTGCCATTTACAAAGATTTTTATACCATGTCACTTTCATGCTCTTAAATACACCAACATCGAGTGGCTGAAGTAGATGGGCTGTATGTGGTGGTAATTTTAAAATACATATCATTATCAAGGGCTTCTTGGATCACATTACACGAAATATGGGTTGTATGTCCATCTACAATTAAAAGGATCGGACGTTCCTTTGGTACGTGAGGTAAAAAACATTTTCTAAACCAATTCGCAAATATTTATGGTCGTCATTCATCTCTTATCCGAAGCGGCTATAGCAATTCTATCTAGTGGTTCAGGTTTTTCAGGTAATATCGACTCGATAACATTTTTTCCCTTGAAAATAGTTAACAAACGCAATTTCTGGCCTGATGCTGAATAATATATTAACACTGTGGTATTTTCTCTGCCGCATGTAGATATAGTCCTTGTAGCTTTTGTACCCACTGCCCCAAGAACTTTTCTTTTTGAAGGGTCACTGGAGAAGGATGTTTCGTCGCAGTTGAATATTTTTTTAGGTTGATTCTGTAACTTTAATTTTAAAATTGTTTCTTCTAGAAGATCAAAGAAACCGTACATTGTCCAAGGGTTTTCTTGCCTTTTTCTAGCCACCTCTACTCCTTGATCTTTTTTGAGAGATAGCTTATTTCTTTCACAAAAATTCAAGAACCATTGTTCTCCGGGACGATTATTTTTGAATTTTGTAATATTTAAATTTCTATTCTTCAAATATAACTGCACTTAGTCCAACGTCTCTTGGCGTGAAAGCCCATATCCCCACTTTTGTATTGTATTTAATGTAGAAATTAGTTGCTCTTCCGCTTCTTTAGTTAAAGCATTTTTTCCTCCTCCTCCTCCTCCGTGTCCTTCTTTAGCCAAATACCAGTTCCTCTTGTACCTTTAATATAATGTCGTGTAAGGTTGACTTGGGAATGTTATAAAATTTTGCTGCGGCGTACATGAATTTATTACTATTTTTAACGTCCTCGGCAGCATGAATAAGAGCTTCTCGGGTATATCGTTCACCATCTGCTCCTTTTTGGGTACGACGCTGCTAATTACGCACCATTATGTCCTGAAAATTTTAGTATTGTCACTTTTATGCACGTTTATTATTTGCAGTAGGATAAAATAGAAGATAAACGTTAAAATATCAAACTAACAGTTACAATACAACTGTATTGGGTAACTGAAACCTACAGACCCAGTTACCCGAAAACTTAAGTTCCAGTTGCCTTATCATATCGAATTTACCAAAGCAACTGGAACCTATACAGTTAAACTTGTTTTCATTAATATAACCTTAAAATGTTAAAATTAATTACACTATAGATGCTTTTTCTTATATCAGGCCGATTTTCATGTTAAAAAATTAATTATTGTACTTACTGCGATTATTTTAATACTTCAGTGCCCAACTTTGTTATGCTTCTACCAAAAAAATACTGTAACATGAATATTTTCGATACGATACTGTCATGTTACAAAGCGCGGGAAGTTTAAAATATTGGATTACAAAATTAGAAGTATAAGGTCCAGTTACCTCTAGGTTCCAGTTAACCAACTTGACCTTAACTGATTTGTTTTGTAGTCGCTCGGCTTATAATTTCAGACTGGTTTGATAAAGAATCACTTTGCTGACTTGGTACATAAATAACTATTATTTGATACCTCAGATTCCTTTTTTTAATATCTTGATTTAACGTCTGACAGCTAATTTTTTATTACAAGGTTTAATGTGCTTCATGCTACATCCATACTTTTTAATTTTGCC